CTATCTATCTATCTATCTATCTATCTATCTATCTATCTATCTATCTATCTATCTATCTATCTATCTATCTATCTATCTATCTATCTATCTATTTATCTATTTATTTATATATATATCCTGCCCATCTGGTCTGGTCGAGCACATTTCCCATTTGAAATGCGCATATGTCCTGATCAAGCATCCATACTAACCAGATGCTATTAATAATTAAGACATATTGGTTGGAATCTTGTTGGCACAGCTCTGTGCGTGCAAGACTGATGATGTCATCAGTCAAGGTCTTTTATCTTTAACTAAATGTTTCCAATTTCCCTCCCTCCTCAGGTTTTGAAGATCCCCAGAAATCCCTTTCAATATGGGGCAGCATTTGCGGGGGCCTTGGGATGCGGGGAACTTTTAATGTCTAAAATATCTGCAGCCAGTACTGCCGATAGTAAAATCATTCTGTAGCGATAGTTTTTGGTAATTATTTACCCTCCTTCCCACCATTCTACAGCCCCCAACCATTTCCTCATGATGAATGAGATTCCAAGGAAGCCATGCAATCTCTGGGAGTGAGAAATCATAAATGTTTCATTTACAAAAAAACTGCCATGCTTGGTGTCATTGGCCTTATGCGGAGTAAAGTTGTACAGCAGATTTCAACTTTTAGTTTTCAAATAAATAGAGCCTGAATTCAATGTAGAAGATGTTTAATCCAAAACCCTTGGTCATGTGCCTCATCAAGCACAGCAGAATGAGATCTGCTTAGAGACCTGAAATACACAACTCAAACACTTTGCACAATATTGTGGCATTTCGATGGGCCTAATAAAGGTACCGTCCAACTGTGGTTTTAAATATGGGCCAGCATAGCTACCCTTGCTTGCATTTTAATATCTTCCTTTGGCTTCCTTTGTGTACATGAGGATCCCAACCAAGATTACATTTTTGGAGGCTAAGAGTTTAAACCTAAACACGTTTAGTCAAATGTAGGCACATTGTGTTTAGATTTTGTTCCTGATTCGCCATCGTTTCTGGTGCTGTATCAGGTTCAGCCATGTTGATAGGAAGAGTGAGACTGCCATCCCAAAGCAACTGAACTGAGTATTGCCAGTTATTTCATTCCTTACTATATTTTCCCTGTCATGGATGGATGGAGACACTTCTGAGACTTTCTGCCTCATGTATAGTTTTGGGAAATCATCATCATCATGTGCCATCAAGTCAATTATGACTTCTAGCGATCCTTTTCAAGGTTTTCCAGGTTGAGAATGCTCAGAAGTGGCTTTACCTGCACAGCTTGCCCAAGGCCACAGAGGCTGGCTCTACTCCCAGGAGGCACAGGATATGTATGACAGAAAAGAACCAGTCCAAGGCGGGGGGGGGGAAGCCTCAGCAAATCTGTTGATTTCTGCCATGGTAGTATGTAATTTTTTTGTCTCAGCCAATGTAACTGATTGGAACAAAAATGTTGCATGTCAGCAAACCATAATGCAAACAGCTTGGAATTTATTTGACAAAATATGTGGAGTATTATTTATTTAAATAAATAAAGAGATTTATTTCATTAAATAGAGCCTCGTGGTGCAGTGGTTAAACTGCTGTACTGCAGCCAAAACTGTGCTCTCACAACCTAGGGTTCAATCCCAGGTAGCCGGCTCAAGGTTGACTCATCCTTCTAGCCTCCTGAGGTTGGCAAAATGAATATGCAGCTTGCTGGGGGCGGGGGGGGGGG